TTTTTTAGCTCAATTTTACCAGATCATAATACAGTGTAAGGAATTCAATGTGTAAAAAATTCTGTGTTTGAAATGCGGTGTACAAAAAAAAGGCAGATTCCAATGAGACCGTTTTTCTTCCATATATTTGGCCAGTTGGAGGGTCGCTTACTGCACTTAATGTTCCCCATATGTTTACTTTAAGTCATCCAAATGCAAAGCCTTGCAGAATATATTGTTTAAATTGAAATGATTGAACAGGAATAAGTCCAGAAAATATGAGTTAATAGTAAACCATAACACCATCACAGCTTTCAGCTGGAGTTTTATAATTGCAGGTTCTCTGCTGCCCTGTTGTCATTTTGGAGCATTTCCTTTTTTTTTGATAATTTCCCTGAAATAAAAAAAAGGGTTTGAATGCATTGTATTATGCAAACACTCATCATGTGTGTTTGTAAACCTGTTACTGAACATTAGCTTAACTCGGCTTGGAACATGTGCTTTAGACTGCTTACAGTAATGTGATTCTATCAACAAAAAAAAAGACACAATGTGTATCTACAAGAAACCATGACGACAAGCCAAGGTGATGAGGACATCAGGAACACTTAGTGTTTAGTGTTTACCCTCAGATAGGAGCGTAAATCCAAAACAACAGGGAAGGCTAACTAAAAAGCACAGAGGAGGATGCAGAAGGGGTGGATTTTCTAATTTAATCGGTGCATGGTAGGAAATGATCAGAATGCTCCTCGCGTCTCCATCCACCTTACTACCCCACATGTACAAAGAGACCCAGCAGATTGCAAGCATTACTGCACTTGGACAAATAGCAGAATAATGCAATCACATAAACACTCCATCACTCTCGTATTTCTGCCGCCTCAGCAGTTTTTTACGTACATAGACTTAAAAAACCCACTTTGAGTTATTTGAACATAGATTTGTGGGGTTTTTTTTAGATTGAACACTTCTTTTGTATTTAAAGTTGAAAAACATATTTTTGTATTATTTACAATATTTGACAATATTTGACTAATCTTCTGTAGGTCATCTTTGGTTGTGATCTCTTCGGCTCTTAACTGTGCATTATCCATAGGATCTAGATCTGCTTAAATGCCCAGTAATACAGTTTTGATTGTTAAAATGTTTCAGATAGCAAAAAGGCTTTCAAGAACCTGGCAGTAGCCAGATTGATATGTGTAGAACTGAGTGCTACGTTATCAGTCTGGGATGGCTGCCGTTCAGTCTTGCCGTGAAAAGGAGGGACGTTTTGTACAATACTTTGAGCTGATTGGGTAACATACCAGCTAGAACCTGCCTTCCATAATCCGCTTTCAACCAATCGTAGTAGCAGATCATGACATTTCAGACGTACGCCAGTCATGACAGGTGGGAGGTGTTTACTTAAATGTAGACCATTGTTGGATGTTTACGGAGAAGTTATGATGTCATTGTGCAATGATTTAGAATTTGCAATAACATAAAAGGCATTTTAAGCAACACAAAGCTGTATTTGAACATTGTCAACCCTCCAGCGTAGCCATTTTTGTAATGCTCCGGTAAGTCCCTTCTGACTGTTGTCATTCCCACATGTCCCGCCCCAAAAAGCACTGCTGGCATGTCTTTGGTCGGACTCATGGGTGGCTACAAGACGGACATATTAGCGGGAGTCTTTCAAGATAGATTTTTTGTGAGACAATCCACCTTGCAGCACAAGGTTAGTCTTTCAGGGCCTTTGGAGGAGAACCTGGACCACAGCATCACAGATCTTCCACCATGTTAAACAACAGGCTTTGAACATCTCTCAATAAATGCCAGCATGGATTTGATGAAAGCTGTTCTTTTCTTCACACTGTACCCTCCCCCTGCATAAACGTTGCAAAGTTAATGATTTTTTTTGGTTCAGATGTCATGAAAAAAAGTGTTCTTTTTATATAACGTAAGACCTGTCTTTTTTGTACTCTTCACACATCTTTACCAAGTGAGACAACTAAATGTGAATGGTGCAGTACTTCTGTCAAGTGCAGAAAAATATATACCGGCTTTTATCAGCTGCTCGTACCTTTAACTTGTGCACTGACCTTGCCATGTTAAATCTGTGTTGCACATCAACTCTTCAAAAAAAAAAAATCCAAATCCTCACTCTCTCCATTTCTTCAGTTGCGTTTTCTTAACCTCGGTTGTTCCTCTAGAAGCAAAGACATCTGCGGCGTATTTCTTGTTTAACTCTGCTGATAACGCCTGTGATTTATAGCACTTACATTACCACTGAGCTCTGATCACATCATGGATCACGCGATCGCAGCAGCAGCAGAGAAGCTACTGTCTTAACAGTGAGTGAAGCAAATGAGCCCGAATGTTCCTGCTGGTTTGTAGATCATAACAGATGTTCGTCTGTCTGTTTATATTGTGGAGTGGGCTGATGGTAAGCCGTGATGGAGGCGGATGATTGGGGATCATGCTGCTGTAGTCCTGCGTATAAATTACCTCTGGGAGATGTTCTCTCACTGGAGTTTGGGGGTGATATAGCTTTTAAACCGGATCATATCTGAAATAATTCTTCTGTATTTCTCTATTTTCGGCCACAGGTCAATTTCCTATCCATCATATATGCACATATTTCAATTTCTCTCATATCTATAGCATAAAATATACCATGAAATATAAATCTGTACCGAGTTCTCACTCTGTCCCTCAGGGAGCAGATGACTGACAGATAAGCTCTTGCTCTCTAAATTTATGCACACATCTTGATACCCCCCCTTTAAAGGGTTTTCCGGCTTAAGGCCATAACTTACCTTCTTCTAGTTGCTTCCTCTTCTCTCTCTCTCACTCTGAGCCCCTCGTCTTTTTGGCGTTGCTCTTAATTTATTGTATTGTTTTTAATTAAATTGATGGCAGGGGGGTTCAAACAGCCCAGCAGTTCCAAGATGCACAATTTCTTATCTGAATTTTAAATTCTGGGCACAGCTATTGTAAAGCGGCGCTATAAAGCTGAATTGGCCCCAAACTGTGCCACTGTGTGTTAGACGGAATAAACTGTTAGGCAAATTCAACCTTTGGAGGAGGTGGGTGGGGATATTAAAGCACCATCTGGGACAGCCTGAATAGAAACACTACTGTTTATTGGATTCTTGCTTCCTGAGGTTTGGTTGGATTACAGAGATGCGTCTATTGATATAGAGGAGTTTTAAATTAAATGGAGTCGCGGCACACTTCGTAAAAACATGCTTTCCTTGAACAAACAGCATTTTGTCCACATTCCCTTATGTCAAACTCCAAACAAACTGGAAACAATTAAGGTGTGTAAAATGGTAGAACAGTAACATTCTGCTGTCTTTTTGAAAGCATAAGAAGTTTGAAGATATTATTACCCGGGTATCTCTCCAAAAACATTTATAAACTCTTCTGTTTAAAGTGGAAAAAAAGTGAAAGATGGTTTTGGATGTTTATCAATGAAAATGTTAAACTTTCAACATATTTTTTATTCCTTATAACATCTACTGCAGCTAATTGCTTTTAAAGGAGATCATTGATTCCCTGATGGTTGCTCTTGGGGAGCTGCAGAGTTTCAATCAGAGCTTTGGTTTGATGATCTGAGCAAGATGGGGCCTCTATTGGTTTTGTTTTTTTTCAATCTGTATGTCTTATTGTGTTTTCCTTGTTTTCAGGATTTTAAAAGGTTTTATTTTTTTTGAACACATCTTTGTATCCTCCATTGACTTAATTTTATCCTACTACTTTTATAGTTTTATGCATTTAGAAATATAGTTTTTTATTTATGCTGCTGCTTCATGTTTGATATCACCAGGGAAGCATTTTCTTTTTATATCTGTAAAAAAATGCTGTTTAAAGAAATATTTTATTCACAAAAATTACTCCATGGCCTTCATGCAAAAACCCCAAAATTTGAACTCTACTTTGATCCATCTGGCTTTACTTGAGTGCTTTCTATACATAAGAAGAGTAACAAAAAGTGCTTTATATCTTTTCAAAAGAAACAACCGATTATAAATAAGTCAGACATAAAATTTAAAATAAAATTCCCAGATATGTTTAGTTAACAAAGGGATACTTGCTTTGAAGGAGTGAATCAACACAATCCAAAAAAAAACAAAAAATGCAATATTAATCGATAGATAAGTTGGAAGATAGAAGTAAACTAAAATAATTTCACTTGAAAAAAGTGGAACGTTAAATAAATTTTAAAAATCCTTATTAGTGTAGAGTTTAAGCATAGCTTAAATATTATAAAGAATAAGTATTTTGTTAGTGAAAGTTAAAGAAGACAAATTTTTTTTTCTTAGTTTTAGGTTTAATGTTTGATTTCAAAAAAAGAAAACACATTTATTTGAAAATGATTGGTGATCTATAATGTCAAAAATTAATTTAAAATTCTTCTCTTTGTTAATAGTTTAAAAAAAACTATACATGGTTACTGTGCTTTTAAACACAGTCTGAAGTCACACGCATGTCTTTCTAACCTTAGAAAGCCTTACAGGTTGTTTTCTCTTACGGAGTGTAATACCATTCCTGTAATCATTTGACATTCAACCATCATCGCTGGATGGTCCCTTTGACCTTAAAACATAAGAATCTTTTATTTTGCAAATGCACCATTTTGGTAGACATGTCTCCGTCCCTGTGGAGTTTTTTTGTTGTTGCAGAATTGTCCTGTCACGCTGACATTTTCCATCCCCAGATGCTTGTGTCAGTCTTGTGGAAACGAACCCAAATGGATTCTTTGTGGGGGTTTTTGACAATGTCTGGTCATGTTAATCAAATATACATGATCAGTATTACATTTTTAAAACACACTGAGATGGAGACTTCTGGCCAAATGTTGCGAAATCCCAACATAGCCCCTTACAGCTGATAAGTTTGGATTTCTCATCCTCCATATGTTCATGCAAACTCCTGAGATGATAAAGATAATTCTAGTTATTATTCTTTACTGTGAATAAGAAGAGCTTTCAGGGACATAGAAAGGCTGAGGTCTCACAGCGTGTTTTTCTGCGAACATGACGGACAGCGAGGTATCAGCGGGAGGGTATTGTGTGGATGATACCCAGTCTCTGCGGAGCTTTAACCTTTCTCCCTCTGCGCCCTTCCTGCAGAGTGCCGCACTCCTCCAGGCACCACTGTCATACAGCCCCATTGTTTGTTCCTGTCTCTGATTCGGCTCTCATTATAGAAAGCTGTTTATGCACAGCGCTCTCAGAAGACATGCTCCAGGCATGAGGGAGAATAAAGAAAGGTGAGGAAATAATTGGGGTAGCAAAAAAAAGAAACCTTGAAAAGGGGATTTTAACCACTGGAATGATAGTAGACTTTATCAAATATATATGTTTGATAGCTTTGCTATTTTTACCTAATGGAACCAGGCAAGACAAAAATCTTTTCCCTTTTAGTGTAGGTTTGATTACTGAAAAAGAATGAATCTGCCATGTAAAAAATATAAAACAAAAAATATTTTTATGCTTTTTACATGTTTAGCATAAAACATATCCTGTGCAATTTGACTGAAAAGCAAAAAAGTATATTAAATGGAAAATATTAACATTAAAAAACAACCTTATTGCATGAATCTAGAGCAGGGTCAGAGATTGTCAATCCTTGAGTGGCAATGACCTGAATGTTTTGCATGTATCTCTTCTTCAACACACCTGAAATAAATAAATGGTTAATGACCATTGCTTCGGAAAACAACTAATATTCTATTGCAAATGAATACTTAAGTGTCAAAGGCAATTTTCCGCTTTCTATATGTATATGGTTGACTTTGAAAGCCTTAAAAAAGCATGATGTGGAAACTTGCAAATTTCAGATTAATCTGAATCACTTTAATGATAAAAGATATGCATCCAAAAATAACCTAGTTTGTTTTGAAATTCAGCTAAACGGACCTGAAAAAAGTAGGTAAAAAGATGTCTATAGAATAGAATACAATTCAACTTTATTGTCATTACACTGTCACAAGTACAAAGCATTGAAATGTAGTTAGCTTCTATCCAGAAGTGCTATACAGGATATAAATATTTATTTACATGTGTGCAGAGACTATGCATGCATGGACTGTAAATGGTATATATATATATATATATATTAAAAGAGAGTAATTGTAAGAAGCTATGAAATAAATAAAAATTGAAGCTACAATTTCAGGATAAATAATGACAGATAATAGCAGATAAAAAGTACATATTATATACAGCTATATAGAGTTGGGAATTGATAAGATTTTTACGATTCTGATTCCCTTATCGATTCTGTGAAACAATTCGATTCCTTATCAATTTTCTTATCGATTCTGTGAAACGATGAACTTGGTAAGTGCACGGTGACATTGGTCTACCTTTGCCTGGGACATTCTTTTTCTACCTGCCTTGGTGAAAACAGAAGGCAGTGAATGGGAGCTGCCAGCCTCTGAGCAGCTAGGCTACTCGTCTCCTCACTGTCATCTAAATCTAATGGAAAAGGCATCCGTTTAATGAAAAAGCATTACTGTACAAAAATAAACTCATCTCCCCCTGATTTAAATAAAGGGGCGTCACTTTTCTCTCACTTCCTGAACTGCGGAGCAACTTGGTATCATGTTTAATAACCCCAAAGAGAGGTAGGACGTGGGTTTATTTCTAGAAATTGCATATGATTTACTTGGAACCACATTAAGCACAGGCAGTGATATAAAACTAGCTACTTACCACCAGAGATGGGAAGTACAAATACTTTGTTACTGTACTCAAGTAGATTTTTCTGATATTTTTACTTTACTACTTATTTTTATGGCGACTTTTTACTTCTACTCCTCACATTTTTACACAAATATCTGTACTTTCTACTCCTTACATTTTAAAAAATTGTCTCGTTACTTTAGTTTTAAATCATTTCAATGGAGTTACCGTTATTATTTTTCACGTCATCAATACCAAATTCAATCTAATTGGATGGGAATCTATGTTGCATTTGACGCACCACTACAAGAAGAATCGACAGATTCGGCGGGATGATTGAGATGATTGAAAATGAACACCACGGAGATCTAGTCCTATTGGCAGACATCCATTTAAAATGTAGGCAACGGCATGAAAAAAGTGGTTTCTACTTTTACTTTTATACTTTAAGTAAATTTACAAGCCTGTACTTTGTTACTTTTACTTGAGTAAAGAAGTTTAATCAGTACATAGTATTTTTTAACACAAGTATCTGTACTTTTACTCAAGTACGGAAAGTGAGTACTTTTGCCATCTCTGCTTACCACCATGGTTGCCTTCCATGCTGGTCGTAACTTTAGCTTCTGTCCGGAGGCATTAAAAACACGGCATTCGTTAAAATGTATGCCATGTTGTGTGCGCAGGTATTTCTGAATGTTGGATGGATTTTCCCACGAATTTTATTGCCACTTTACATCCAAACTTTCAATCGGTTTACCCGATGGGGCGGCATTTTTTTGTTGTTTTGCTTTTCTATACTTACGCCTGGTCACGTCGTACTTCCTTACTGAATGCCGTGTGCGTAACTTGCCTAAAAAACGTGACATAACTCACGTAGAAAACGTGACGTAAGTCGTGCCGGCCAGCGCTAGGCTCTGGTGCTGCCTGGAATCGTTAAGAGAACCATTAAGCGAGCTGCCAGACTGTGCCATGGAATTGGAACGCATGGAACCGGTTCTGAAAAGGAACCGGTTTTCGATTTCCATCCCTACAGCTATAGTTAAGAAGCATGTGTGAGTGGTGTTGGATTCGTAGGTGTTGTCTGTGTGTGTGTGTGGGTGGTTGAGGGAAACAGTCCATATATAGATAGAACAAAGTTATTATTCTTTTTGTTATATTTTCTCTCTTTAAAATTATTTTTTATTGAATAATGAAGGTTATTTCTCTAAAACTATATATCTTCATTACAAAAATAGTCAATTAAAGCGGCTTGGGTAGCGGGTAGAGTACATCCTTTATTTTAGAACCTGTCTCTTTAACTCCAGTTGACAGAGATAATGTCGGCTAAGATTGGTTGAACATAGCAGATTGCAGGACAGCTTCCCACTTTTAGCTTTAGTTTTGCCTGATTTCTATTGGTCATACATTATGCAAATGTGTTTCAGGAGCCCTTTATAGACATGAAATGTGTCAAATTAATAGCTTCATAAATCTGTTGATGAAATGTCATTCAGGCCTGATATGGGTCACATTTAAGATAATGTTCTTGACAGGTTTAGCCGCTGATAGTGATTAAAAAGGGTCCAGTGTGCCAACAATTACCTGCAGCTACGACTTACCTTAATGTGTATGAAGCCGTTCATGAATCCCACATCCTATCTGCAAGGAGATGTTACTTTATAAAGCTACACTTAGTCGTCCCTCATGCACATGGAAGAAGTAGTTCAATTTAAAAACGGCGTCTGGATATACGGATCTTTTCCAAATGCATTTCTTATTTCTTTGATAGAAATCTCTAAATAAAAAATGCTGCAGTGAATTCCAGCTGTGCTAAAACTCAACACTCCCATCTGCTGCTTGTGTGAGATGACAAATTACCACAGTTTTCTCCTCCAGTTTTAAAGAAAAAAAGCTTTCTGCTCATTCACTTGCCATTGGTACTTTAGTTAAGTTGCTGCCTGGACCTCCTTGTTCATTTGGCTCAACACAGTGCCTCCTGTAGCAGTGGAAAAATCACCCATGGTTCCAACCACTCTGCTGTATCCTGTTTTCATTAAATTGACTCCCCCACTTGAGGATGGGGATATAGCAGTGCTCCCTAGTGCTGCTCTTTCTGTCTTTCTGGAAAGTGTTTTGATCCTTCCTGGTTTGCTTCTTCCTCTGCACCATTTAGGGACTTTTGATTTCTTTGGAGATAAGGGTCGCCCTGGCTGTAATAAAGTATAAGCGATCAGTTCTTTGATTTTGGCATAAAAATTGCAGATTTACGTAATAAACTCATGTATTAAATTATTAATAATGTTTGTAATAGTCACAAAACTTCTTTATTATATGCTTTACAATGATGTCATGCTATCTATTTACATTTTTTACTTAGAAAAGCTCATTTATTTCAGCGGTTTTCTCAGTTTGTAGTGTTTTGGCATCACTTTGCACGAGCTTCAAAGCATTATTGTTATAAAGGTATCAAGGCTGGGCTGCATTAGAAATTTGTTGCAGTTGATTACCATGGATAAATTGAAACATTATTTAGAGGAATAAAACTGCTTCACCAGTTCGCGTCAAAAGGATTCAGTGATTACATTTCAGGATACATTCTATATATCAAGAACCATGCAGTATTGGTTACTTTTTTTCTTAATCTTAAGTTTTATCATTTTTATTTTTTGTTTTTTACTCAAGTTAATGTATTGATTCATAATAAAACCCTTAAAAATACATTATCTAAACTGCTGTCTTGTGGACATAGCATCAGGGTGAATGTAATACTTATTGATTTAATTGAAATCGCAAAACTAATATTTTTGATTGAAAGTATTTATCATGCCTAATATTCTTTACTCTCGATATAACAGGAAAACCTAAAAACTTTAATTTTAGATGGTTGGAAGTTTAACATTTTTGCTGCTATGTGCATTTTTGTAATGTTTTGAACTAGACAGTTCAGTTTCTGCTGATTTGTTTAAATCCAAACTTAAAACCAACCTCATTCATAGAAATTATGAAGTTATTTTTTATAAAGAGGCCTCTCAAATTACCAAAAAATAATTGACCAAAAAATAGACTTGTCTACAGTTTGACTTAAATAAACTGAGTTAACTCAAATCTGCTGGTGCAATATAGTTTTCCAACATCAAAATGTACTTGAAAATGTTTGTTCAGCTGCAGTCAGGCAACAGGCAATTAAGGTATACATCTGCAAGGTTGAATGCAGGCCGAGACTTTTATTTTTGTAGGAATGCTTACCTTCACGGGAGTAGATGAGATTTTTTGTGTGTGTGTGTGTCCTGCTACACTTGGCAGGAAAATGCAAGAAGTTTTGAGATGCTTCACTTCCTCTGGACAATACTTTAAAAAAAAGGACAAAAAATGTTGCAAAGTGGGTCCGAGAGAAAAGCATTTGACAGCAGGAGGCTTGAAGTGGGAAAATAGCACCGCTGGGGTTGCAGCCATGCTTGGAAGGTG